ATTCTGTAAACTTTGTTTCTGAACATACTTTCCAGGAAACACCGGTCCCATGGGATGCTTCCTGGGGAAAACATTTTATGGCCCTGAAATCTGGTATATAGTAGACACTTAGATTTTTGTTTGAGTGATAATGCTGTCAACTTTCATTTAGCAAATTAGAGATACCTTTTTAAAAATATGGTGGCCAATAATATAGTTCTTAATATCATTTATATTTGCATATCAAAGCCTAGGGCTATACATGTCTTCAGATTTCTTAAATTTTCAGCATTAGGAGATGCAAAAAGTTTCCAATTAAATATATAGCAAATGAGTTTGTATTTTAAAAGATACTTCTCTTTACTAAGAAATATACAGCTCTATTTTGACAGTGAGATTATTAGTTATTTCTTGATTTTAACATTTCTTATAATATTTTTTGATGCCATGAATATACTTTATATTTTAAGATCCTGCTTTTTAAAAATGTAAAATATTATATTGCTTTCTGTGTTTAATTCTAATTTTATATAATGTTTAATTTTTTGAGAATACTTAATTTTTATTTATATAATTTGAGGTTCACTTTTGGATAGGTATATTATTTACTGTTTTCCAAATTGTTATAGAGTTTTTATATGAAATGTATTAAATATTTCATTCTATGTCATTTTCACTTCTTGAATTCTCAACACTTCAAAAGTAAGAGTCTTGAGCAAAAGTAATATCAGAATAACAAATTTTAAAATCACAAGTCAGTTCTTACCAGCAATTCTGTTGTGACTCGTGGCTTAAAGACAAGAGATTAGAGTAGAAATTAATTATGTGACTGTATTCTCTTCCTTTTACTTTGAACATAAGCTACTATAAAGCATAAGCTGCTAAGGCTACAAGGATAGCAATGACATGCACATTTTGTTGAAATTATTTAAGGAAGATACTGGATGTGGTGGTTATGTTTTTGTGTCAACTTGGCTAGGCCTCTTTGAGTGGCTGGGCAGCTGGATGTAGTATTCTCCATGATGAGAGTGGTAATCAACTCCATGATGGAATCTACTGTGAGCAGCTAAGTGGCACACACTGTATAATCACTTCCTTTGGGTATGTGGTCTGCTTCCCATATATAAGCAGCAGCTTTGGGAATGGTCTCTAGCCTATGGCACGCTTGGAGCCTGCCTGTAGCCATGTTTAGCAGCCTGCCATACTCTGCCAACCTTGGGACTTATAATGGACTTGAATTAATGGGCTGCCATGTGGTTTGGTAACATCACGATTGTGCCTTTTCACTTGTCGACCTTGGGTTTTTCAGCCTGAGTAGGTAGCAGCTGTCTGAGTGAAGAAAAGCCTCTAGCTCCAGTGGGCCGGGAGCAGGAGGCAGAGCTGAACTTCAAGGTTGAGGGGTTTTCACCCAGCCCCTGGAACCTGGAACTTTGAACTTGAACTTAAAGCCTCCAAACTGTAAGAGAATAAACTGTTTGTTAGGGCCATCCCCTTTGTGGTACTTTCTTGTCAGAGTGCCACTAGGTAACCACAACACTGGAGCATGAAGTTAAAGAATTGATAGTTTTGAAGTTAGAAGAAACAAAGCAGAAAGTAGAAGCAGAGGTTACATGGACACAGCAGACTGAAATGCAGTGCTGATACATGTCCAAAGTATGTGACAGGAAGTCTCTCCATCTTCATTTCTAAGGAGCATTCCAGCTATACTTGTTCCAAGACAAATTTGTTTGTTCTTCTGGCAGTCCATGGTATGTGCAATATTCTTCACCAATACCACAATTCAAATGTACCCATTCTTCAGTCATCCTTATCCATTGTCTAGCTTTCACATACACTTGAGGAAATTTAAGATACATTGGCTTGGGTCAGGCTTCCCTTAGTCTACAAGGTGACATTTTTGCTTTCTGACACTTTAAAGAGGTCTTGTTTACAGCAGATTTTCTTAGTGCAGTGTCACTTGATTTCTTGACTGCTGCTTCCATGGTGTTGATTGTGGATCCGAGTAAAATGAAATCTTTTGACAACTTCAGTCTTTTCTCCATTTATCAAGATCTTGCTTATTGTTCCACTTGTCAAGATTTTTGTTTTCTTTATGTAGAGGTGTAATGCATACTAAAGGCTGTAGTCTTTAATCTTCATCAGGAAGTGCTTCAAGTCCTCTTCACTTTCAGCAAGTAAGGATGCATCTGCATATCACAGGTTGTTAATGAGGCTTCCTCTAATCCTGATGCTACATTCTTCTTCATAGTCCAGCTTCTTGGATTAAGTATGAATAAGTATGGTGAATGGATACATCCCTGACACACACCCTTCCTGATTTTAAACCATGCAGTAATCCCCTTGTTCTGTTTGAACAGCTACCTCTTCGTCTTTGTACAGGTTCTGCGTGAGCACAGTTAAGTGTTCTGGAATTCCCATTCTTACCAGTATTATCCATTGTGTTAGACTGGACTCTCTAGAGAAACAAAAACCAGCAAAGCTATATATATATATAGAGAGAGAGAGAGAGAGAGAGAGAAATTTGTCTTAGGAAAATGGCTCACAAATGTATAGAAGCCGGCAAGTCCAAAGTCCCTGGAGGAAACGTCGGGCTGGAGGCAGACTTAGCTTCTGCAACCATAGGGGGCCGAGAAGCTTAGGCTGGCAGGCAGTACACTGGCTGTTGACTCCAACGAAAGACGAATCCAAGATCTCCAGGCCGAACCGGTGGGCTGTTCACTCACGGAAGGTTGTAGGCAGCACACCAGAGTCCCGATCCACAGAAGAATGTCTCTCTTCCCAGGATGTCTCTGGATATCCTGGAAGCAGGCCACACCCCTAGGGAAACTCCCCTTGACAGATTGGCCACTCAGAACACAGTCATCCGATCCCATCATGGGAACAACCACACAGAACTGGGGTCCAGCCAAGTTGACACAAAGCTCCAACTATCACATCCATAATTTGTAATGATCCACATGGTCATATGCTTTTGCATAGTTGATAAAACACAGGTAAACATCTTTCTGGTATTTTATAGATCATTGAAATTACTAATATAATTACTTAGTGGGGATATTTTGATAGAAAAGGTGCAATTAAAGGCATTTTCTGTACTAATCTCTGAGTCATATAGTTTTAGAGTTGACTGAGGAAAGCTTATTTGTTACCCAGAGATACTGGTGTACCTGAATTTTCTTCTTCTTTGGTAACTTCTCAGCCTTCTTTGTTGGCTCTCGTTCAAAAACATTCCAAGTTACTAACTTATTGAATAATTTTGCCTTTTGAAGTGTTTCCTGATATGTTCCATAGGTTTCTGAATAACAAAACAGAAGCTTTCCAGAGTGCTCTGGCTTTATGAATACACACAGACTCAGCTGGCTGCTTATGCCTTCTTTGTTAAAGTACTTAGCTTGAGAAGTTGAGAGGGCCTGCAAAGCTTAAAGTTCTCAGAGTTTCTTAAGCTAATATTGAAGCAAGGCCATCAACTGGAACCATGTTTCTGCCAATTCTCTGAACTCAGCTATTTGAATCTTATATCATGAACTAGTTTGCTGGTACCTATATATATGTGGGTCTTTTTTTTGGGGGGGGGGTTCTGCAGGTTAAACATTAGTGGTGGTGGTGTTAGATGGCATCAAGTTGATTTTGACTCATAATAACCCCATATGACAGTATAACTGCACCATAGTGTTTTCTTAGCTTTAAATTTCATGGAAGCAGATCACTAGGTTTTTTTTCCCACAGAGCTGCTGGGTGGGTTCAAATTGCCAGCCCTTTGATTAGCAGCCATGCACTTAACCGTCGTGTACCTGTTATATACCTGTTGCTCTTGAGACGATTCTGACTCACAGTGACCTTGTAGAACAGAGTAGAACTGCCCCATAGAGTTTCCAAGGCAGAAAATTTTTATGGTAGCAGACTGCCATATCTTCCTCTTGTGGAGTGGCTGGTGGATTTGAACCTCTGACCTTTTGATGAGCAGCCAAGCTTTTAACTACTGTGCTACCAGGACTCTTTACAGTTAACAATATACCTACTCCTCACTTATTAACTGCCTCATAAAACCTACTGTCTTACTATTTTGTGTATTAAGGACATACATCTGGCAGTAACAAATTCCAAGGAATGAGGTGAGAATCATGCTGGCTGTGATGGTTAAGGTTATGTGTGAACTTGGCTGCACCATGATTTCCAGTGGTTTGGCAGTTATGTAATGATGCAGTTTGGTAGTTAATGTAAAGATGTAGTGTTCCAATGTAACTAACCAGCCTCCATTTTCGCATAACGTTGATTTTTGCATAGCAGTCTGGCCTTTGGAACCTAACCATGTGGAGTTTGTGTACACTTTCAAATTTGAATCTTCAGCTCAGAACTTGGTATTTCCATTCAGTCATCCAGCAGTGCAATTAAATCATCTGTATCTTGAACATATGTTACTTCATTAGATAATTTCTTTCTCAAAAATGCTCAAACACACAATAATCACAGTGTTATATGCCAATTATATAAAATAAAGTTTTTTCAATTTTTCCTATACACAGACAGAATTTTAAATATCTGTGGCAAATCATCAGAGAAATTAATTTTTTCCCACATTTTCTTGATAGATTAAAGTTTTTGTTGTTTGGTTTTAGAGTAATCTTCATTAGTCTTTTCAGGTAGTTGAATGACATAATTAAGGTCCGTGGTTTTGAGAGCACCTGCACTAGCCTCTGTCAGCATCTGTCACTAACCTGACAGCAGGAATGTGTAGGAGCTATTGGATTTACTTCTGCTGCTTGGAGTCCTGGCTCTTGAAACCATTATGGCTTTACCAGTCAACATGACTTGGCTAGGTCTTTGGGGACTGATGACAGTAAAATGGAAAGTTCTCTTGTTCTCTACTGTTTCTGCAGCTATGGGATGTGGAGAAGTCCTCTCTTGCAGAAGACAGGTAGAGAGCTGTTAGGGCTGCAGCTCATGAAGAAGCCTAGGGATCTGGTTATAACCTTGGCAACTTCTACCTAGGGTATTAAAATTTAATTTGTTTCTAGTCCTAGGTTCTGTAGGAAGCTGTGGCTTGGAAGAAGATGACTTTTCTTCTTATGATGACGCAATAGAAGCTGACAATGAGGAGGATGTTGAACCCTGTGACAAAGAAAATGAAAATGCCGCTGAATCTAGTGTTGGAACAAATACAGGCTGGGCAGATGCCATGGCTAAAATTCTTAACAAAAAAACTCCTAAAAGTAAATCCACCATTCTGATCAAAAACAAAGAGCTGGAAAAGGAGAAAGAAAAGTTAAAGCAAGAGAGACTAGAGAAAAGAAAACAGGTGTGCCCTACTAGTTGTCTTTTAGATTAGATTGTTTGTCTTGTTTAGTTCTTATCTGTACCACATTGTTCTTTGCAGTGTTTACCCAATTAACATTCCAGTTTTAAACTTGCTTTTCATGTGAGGGTAGATAACCAATCTATGTTAGTCTAAATTACCTCATTGAGCATGTTCACTTTTAATCATCTCAGCAAACTCCAAGGAAATTTATTCTTAATATCAAGTAATTATAAATATGGAAATGATTTCTGAGTCTAAATATTTATTCTATTTAGTTGTCCATATACTGACTTTATTGTGTCCTGAATTAATTTTTGTATTTGAATGTGTTTTGTTAGAAGCATGTTTGTTACTTTTTGTTTGAAAACCTGTTTTATAATATACAAGGGTCCTGGGGTTGCAGTGGTTAAGCACTTGGCTGCTAACTGAAAGATCTGTGTTTCAAACCCATCAGTTGCTCCATGGGAGACAGATGTGGCAGTCTGCCTCCATAAGATTACACCTTGGAAACCCTACAGGACAATCTCACTCTTCCTATAAGGTCACTCCTTCCGAGGAGTGGCTGGTGGGTTTGAACCGCCAGCCTTCTGGTTAGCAGTCAAATGCCTTAGGCACTACTCCACCAGAGCTCCTTGGAAGGAAGGTTGGGCAATCTACTTCTGTAGTGATACTGCCTTGGAAACCCAAGGAGGGATCTCTATGAGTCAGATCTGACTCGATGGCAGTGGGTTTTAAGGTCACTATGAGTCGGAAATCTGTGAAGATGTAAGTTAGAAACTATTGCAGTTCTGTTAACTGATTATTTCCCCACTAGATAAACTTGAATTCATTATGTCTTTTGTTACATCACTGATGATAGAAGTTAGACTAGTATAATCTCTTAAATAAAGCTTAAACATCAGATACAAATTTGCTGTTGTGTACAATAAGCATGAGGAAGCCATGAAAAATTGTAAGTATATCCCTTATACTTGATGAAGTACTCTATATCTAAAGTATTTAGTCATTGAAATAAATGTTATTTTCTGAAGGGAGAAAAATAATTTTTAGCAATGGTACTGGTGGTGATTTCTAAGACGGAGTTTATAGGTGGAATACTTGGGTAGTGTAAATGGTTAATGCTCTTGGCTGCTAACCTGAAAGTTGGAGATGTGAGTCCACCCAGAGATACCTTGGAAGAAAGGCCTGGCAGTTTTTATCTGAAAAATTATCTACTAAAAACCCTATAGAGCATAGCTCTACTCTGATACATGTGAGGTAGCCATGGTTGGAATTGACTCAAAGGCAACCAGTTTGTTTACTTCATAGATAAAAATAAAAGAAAAGTAGATTAGAATTGGCAGATATTTCCTTTTACATTCACCATCCCTTTATCTTGTTTAAAGATGAATGTTTCTTAATATTGGTTACTCTGTGTGAAAGACCGTATAAAGGTGGAACTTTCCAAGCATTGCTCTTGGAAACAGAATGTACTCTTATTAATTCAGTATTCTCATTGTACTTTAAGATAAATTTTGTCTCTAAATCTTACTGATAGCTTTTCAACTGAAAATCATATCTTTGTTTATTATCTGGCAAAAGTTAGAAGAGACTTTTAAAAAAAAATCAGAATCCTTAATTGTCTCTAGTCCTAGTGTTCGAGTGTGGGCATTTTGAAACCGAAGGGAATGAGTCTCTAACTCTGCTCTAGGCTACAGCTTTGGATGTTAGAGATGATACTGTGCACATAATACATGAAAGCACACATGGTATACCAGAAACATCATAGAGTGGATATAAATGCCTTTTCTATATATTTCAGGAGCCCTGGTGGCACGATAGTTAAAGTAGTCTGCTGCTAGCCAAAAAATTGGCAGTTAGAACCACTGGCTGCTCCGTGGGAGCAGTTGTGCTTCCATACAGATTTACAGCCTTAGAAACCCTATAGGGCAGTTCTGCTCTGTCTTACTGGGTCGCTGTAAGTCATACTGGACTCGATGGCAGTGGGTTTGGTTTGGTTTTGGTTTTGTACATATTTCTAAGTGGCGTCTACATAAATTCTCATTACTTCTTAATGTTAAATATTATGAATTTTCACTATATCAGCTGCTTATTTCAAATGTAAATATGAAAGTGCTTTCAAAGTTAAAACATGTTTTGGGCATAATATCTATTATCCCTTGAGTACTGGAGATCGTTTAAAATGTTCTGTTTTAAATTTTTGGGTAAGATTATTTTTTTCTGGGGCAGTCTGGTTTATTATGACTGAATTTTATGACAATTAAAATGAATTATCTGGGGGAAGAATCTGTTCCTTTAGAAAGCAATCAGGCTCATCTTTATAGCAAGAGAAGGAATTTGGTCTATTGTGATTAGAAATTTTCATTAATACAAAATAAGAAATGCATGAGTGGAGAACAGGGAGAGATAAAAGGAGACATATTTTCATTGATCCTTCTTACTGGCTTTGACACTCACCAACTTCTTGGAGATTATTTCATCATATTCAGTATATGTGGTATTTGGTGAAATGTTGACCTGAGAAGGGGACCTGGAGAATCAATTTATTGTGCTAGATGCCTGGGGTTTGGATACTGCTAGAAGATAGTTTTGAACTAGATTATGGTATCTTTGGGATTTTCTTTTTCCCAGTTCCCCTTCTACTTGTGCATCATAGCAGAGAATCCATTTGCTGCAGTTTGAGACTGATATGCCATATATGGCAAGGATATCAGTTAGGTGAGCTGCAAGAGGAGAAATAGATTAAAATGATTTACTAAATAGAGATAGTCACAGTATAAATAGGATCCTTGTGGATATGATGCATTTCCTTTAAAAGCTTATATGTTTAACAATTCTGACTGTTAAATCAATTTCTGAAAATAGAGAAAAACAGTGTTTAACCTTGTGGTTACCAAAGAGGGTAGTTTGGAGTCTTACCTGTGGTGATCTGGTTATGGCAGTTCAGGCAAGTGGCTCTTTCACACCCTGCCATGTACTGCCTGGCTCAGTATGCTGGCAGCTTTCCAGACCCCTGCTGTCAGAACTGACAGAAACTCACTTTGTGCCTCTCACATGACATGCTGAGTGCTAACCACAGGCTCCCTGAGCTGCACCCCTAAAATTATGGGTTTTTTTTTAAAGTCTTTATGACAAACTAAGCCAGAATGATTTATTACCTTTGTCCTTTCACAGAGTATCATATCAAAGTATACTGAACTTTCAAAAATGCCTAATATTCTTTCACGTAACAATATTTATAACACAGCTTGATAAGAAGCGAGAGTGGGAAATGATGTGCAGAGTAAAGCCAGATGTTGTCAAAGACAAAGAAACAGAGAGAAATCTTCAGAGAATTGCAACGAGGTAAGACAGTGTTTTTGCCCTTTAAAAAATAAGTATACTAAAGCTTTGATTGTGGTCTGTTTCTGGCCAGATTTGATTCTTCAGTCTGCCTTCCAGGGGCTAAGTGATTTATGTCTAAGCCTGCCTAGTCAATACTGTATTCAACGAAAGGCTTTGCAGATCTCCTGAGATAAGGGTATAAAGTGCTAAGTGAATATTCAGTATGAACCTATTTTAGATCATTTTGTTTTTATAGTCATGAGAATAGTATAGTCAGACCTCTGTTGTGATGCTTGTCTAAATTTCTGATACTACATGATTATTTTTCTTATCTTGTGGCTTAACACATAACACATGTATTACAACAGCTTCATGCTATCCTTTCACTCTGCATTTTTTATTATCAACACCAAACATTCATTTGATGACCACTGTGTCCAAAGATAAATGAGATACGTTGGCTGCTTGGTGGTCCCTGCCCACTCCTCTATGAATGAAAGTAATTAATTACAGTCTCTCTGAGAATGGAGGTACATCTTATGTGTTGGGGACATAGAACAGGAGATTGTCTGGAGAGTTTGGGAACATGTAAGTTGCTACTTAAAGAATGTAGTAATTATATTTAGTGGAATTAGTTTTGGATTCTTAGTTATCTGCATTGTTTTGGTCCCTTTCTAATCCACTGGGATGTTGTACTGTGGGATAATAAGCAATAGTGTTCAAGAACATCCGTGATAGAGCCAGATTGCTGGGTTCAAATGCTGGCTTTTATTAGCTGCATGTCTTTGGCATGCATCTTAAATTTCTTTCTGCTTTGGTTTACTTATCTGTAAAAAGAGGCTAATATTATACCTACCCTATAGGGTTTCTGTGATAATCAAATATATTACTACATATAAAGCATGTAGAAAAGTGCAGGATCAATGCTTGTACAAAGCTGAGAGTGAGAGCCTCCTTAAATTTTGTACCATAGGCACTTTACTTGCCTCACCCTTATTCTGGCCCTGCTATGAAGGGTCTGGAATCTTTCCTTTGTTGTAAGCTGTTAATACTTCTTGGCTTCTAGCAGAAGACGAGACTCATGGGTCAGAGACAGACGACTTGATTACTAATGGCAAAAGCAGTAGCCAGAGTTTCATGTTCCCACTGGTTCCCCTTGCCCCACATGGGCAATACAGATACCCTAGACAGATCCCTGCACATGGAGTCAGTTGCATTACAGGAGAGAGAGACTGTGCTTGGGAATATTGCTTTTCTAGTGAATGGTAACAAACCTGCTCTTTGTTTGGGGTAATTATTACCTTATCCCTCAAGGTTGCTTACTAGAGACACAAACCTGAGAAATGACCTGAGTAAAGAGAGGTCAAGGCCTTGCATTCTTGAAAAACTCAGTAAGAATATGCAGGGCCCGTGGTGGATTGCCTATCCCAATAGCTATTAAAGAGAATTCATAGATTATAGAATTTTAAGCCTGGTCTGAATTAGTGCTATTCAGTAGAAATAATATGAGCCACATATGTAATTGTTTTGATCGCTTCTTCACTTCATACCCCATTAGTGAGAGAAGTATTCTTGCCCTAGGATTATGAGGATGGCCAAACACAATAATACTTGATGCTGGACAAATGAGATAGTGGTAGTTTATCAGTCACAAATACTTATAGCCCGGGGAGGAGGTCACCACAACACATAGAGCCACACAGGGTTGTACTTGGGAACAGAGTGAACCAGCAGGCACTGTGGGAGGTAGGCTTTGTAGTAACAAGAGGATGAGGTGACCCCTTCCTTGTTCCTATGGGAGGATGTGATTGGCTTGTTTGAATAATTCCATGGGTTGTCAGGAAACTAAAGCCTGCTGCTACTCGGGGAAAAACAGGCACTGTGTCTTATTCTCCTGATAAGGAGGGTTATTTGGCTGGGAGAAGTTGTGTGAGCACAGTTAGGGATAGGAGAACTTAAGTTTAGACCATTCAAATCCCTCCTGATTTCACATGAAAGCAACATATAATACTAAATTAGAATTTTCTAGTAATCACATGGATAAAAAAAGGGAAATTAATTTCAATGAAACTTAACTCTGTGTAGTCAAAATACTACCATTACAGTGTGTAATCAGTATAAAACAATTAGAGATATTTTACACTCTTTTACATACTAGTTGTTGAAATATGGTATGTATTTTATACTTTTAGCACATCTCATTTCTGACATTTCATGTTCTCAGTAGCCATGTGAGGCTAGTGCCTACTGTATTGGACAGTTCTTTCCAGTACACTGTATTTTAGTTTCCTAGGAGCTCTGGTAGCATAGTGGCTAAGACACTTGCCTGCTAACCAGACGGCTGGCGGTTCAAACCCACCAGCCACTCCTCGGAAGGAAGGTTGGGCAATCCTACTTCCGTAGTGATACTGCCTCGGAAACCCAAGGAGGGGTCGCTATGAGTTGGGGCCGACTCCACGGCACATAACAACAACAACATAACAACAGGACTGCTATAACAAAATACCACAAAATAAATGAATGGCTTTACAGAACCAAAATTTATTATCTCACAGGTCTGGAAGATAGAAGTCCAAATGAGGGTGTTGGTCATGTTGATTCCTTCTGAGGGTGCTGACAGAGAATCTGTCCCATACCTCCCAGGTCCTTGTGACTCCTGGCAAATGCTTGGTGTTTCTTGGCTTGTAGATGCATCTTCACATGGAGCGTTACCCTCTGTGTCTGTCTCTCTGTGCCTGTTTTCCTCTTTTATAAAACACCACTCAAGTGGGAATAGGACCCGCCCTACGCTGGTATGACCTTGTTAACTAATGTCTAACAAAGATCATGTTTCCAAACAAGGTAACATTCAGACATTAGGGCTTCAACGTATCTTTTTTGGGGAATGGAGTTCAATCCATAACACACTGTAATACCTGCAACCATTATAGAATTATATTTTGAGAAATAAATATTTATGTATAAAATTTTTGTTCTAATTGCACAGACGTTGATTTAGAAAGACCAAAGCTGAAAAGTCACATACCAGTCCACATATATTTATTCTTTGTGTCAGAAATTTATATTCATTCATTGAAATGTATGTCCATTTTTCACAGTTATTTAACTTTCATTTGAGTGCCTATTAAGTGCTTTCCTTTTTTCTAGACAGTGAAAGTACATTGTTCCAACTGTACTAGAGTTTGCATTCTGGTGTAATTCTGTTTAACTACATTGTTCTGGTTATTTTGTATTCCATAGAGGTGTGGTGCAATTATTTAATGCTGTTCAGAAGCATCAAAAGAATGTTGATGAAAAAGTTAAAGAAGCTGGAGGCTCTATTAGAAAGCGTGCTAAGTTGGTATCAACTGTTTCTAAGAAAGACTTCATCAGTGTTCTTAGAGGAATGGATGGAAGTACAAATGAGAAAAGTTCTACTGGGAAGAACTCTAATGCCAAACAGGTGAGACTTTTATATGAGATTCAGTGCATCAGACGTTCAACTCTTAAACTAAAGAGTTTTGAGATGGAAAAGCCCACCCTAGAATTTTGTTGAAATTCTTATATGCCCACAGCCTAATTTTTAAGTTTGATTTTTTTTTTTTTTTTTTTAACATTTTGTATGGTGAAAACAGACACAGTAAGACATTCACCAATATAACAACTTCCCCACATTTTACAGCTCAGGGACATTGATGACATTTTTCATGTTGTGCCACCATTATTGCTATCCTTTTCCAAAATATTCTACCACATATTAGCAGTGCCCCCCAAACAAAAGCTTCCCTTTTCCCCCTCCTTCCTACCCCTGATAACCACCAATAATGTTTGGTTTTATATATATATATATTTTTTTTTTTTCTTTTTTTACACTCCTGCATCTCAAAACGTACTATACGGCCACAGCTGTCAAAATAGCCTGATATTGGTACAATGACAGACACAGACCAATGGAACAGAATTGAGAACCCAGAAATAGATCATCTACCTATGATCAGCTGATCTTTGACAAAGGGCTGAAACCATTAAAGGGAGGAGAGAGAGAGTCACAAATGGTAGTGGCAAAACTGGATATCTATTTGCAAAAAATGAAACAAGATTGAAACCAGAAATTATTTGGTTTATATGTATATATATGGGAGCTCTGGTGGTATAGTGCCGAAGACATTTGACTGCTAACCAGAAGGCTGGCGGTTCAAACCCACCAGCCACTCCTCGGAAGGAAGATTGGGGGATCTACTTCCATAGAGATGCTGCCTTGGAAACCCATGGAGGGGTTGCTATGAGTCAAATCGACTTGACGGCAGTGAGGTTTTTTTTTCCTTGTGTGTAGATATAATATATATGTATGTATGTATATATGATATATCTTTTTATTTCAACCTATCTAGAAATTTTTCCTCCCCTCCCATTCCGTATCTGATAACCAAAAAAGAAAGTTTCTTTCTAAGTATGAACCTTTCCTTGGCTTTTTACAATAGTGGGCTAATACAGTATCTGTCCTTCTGTGATTGACTTATTTCACTCAGCATAATACCCTGCAAGTTCATCTACATTATGTGGTGTTTTGCTGAGTCTTCATTATTCTTTAGGGTTGCATAGTATTCCATATTGAATGTATATATAACAGTTTGTTTATCTATTCCTTGGTTGATGGGTGCTTTGGTATTGTCAGTAGTGCTGCAATGAACATGGGTGTGCAAATATCCATTCGTGTCCTGCCTCTCACTTCTTGAGGATATATACTTAGTAATGGGATTGCTGAGTCAAATGGTATTTCTCTTTCCAACTTTTTAAGCAATTGCCATGCCAATTTCCACAATATTTTCATCATTTTACACTCCTATGAGTAGTGTATGAGAGTCCCAGTCTTTACACGTCTTTGCCAGCATTTGTTATTTTTTGTCTTGGTGAACTTTGCGATTAATACTGGGGGAAGATGGTATCTCATGGTTGTTTTGATTATCATCTTTCTAATGGCTAATGATTGCAAACATTTCTTCATGTGTTTGTTGGCTACCTGAATATCTTCCTGGTGAAGTGTTTATGTCTTCTGCCCATTTTTTAAAAGGATGGTTTGTCTTTTTTTGATGTTGAGATGTTAGAGTTTTCTATAAATTTTAGAGATAAGTCCTTTGTCCGATATGTCATTGCTGAGTATTTTTTCCCAGTTTTTAGGTTCTCTTATTATTATTTTGGAGAAGTCTTTTGATGCACATAAGAATTTAATTTTTGGAAGGTCCCATTCATTTAGTTTGTCTTCTTCTCTTTATGCATATTGGGTTATACTTGATAGTGTATTTATGCCATAAATTAGAGCCCCTAAGCTTGACCTTAATTTTTCTTTGATGAACTTTATAGTTTTAGGTTTTACATTTAGGTCTTGGATCCATCTGGAGTTAGTTTTTGTGTATGGTGTGAGATATGAATCTTGTTTCATTATTTTGCAAATGGATATCCAGTTTTATCAGCACCTTTTGTGAAAGAGACTCTCTCTTCCCCATTTAATGGATTGGGCCCTTTGTGAAAGATCAGTTGATTGTAGGTGGATGGATCTATTTCTGGGTTGTCAGTTCTGTTCCTCTGGTCTATGTATCTGACATTGTACCAATACTAGGCTATTTTTGACAGCTGTGGCTATATAGTAGGTTTTGAGATCTTGGAGTGTGAGACCTCCTACTTTATTCTTCTTCTTCAGTAGTGCTTTGCTTGTCTGAGGTCTCCTTCCTTTCCATATAAAGTTAGTGTTTGATTTTTCCATGTCTTTGAAGAATGTTGATGGACTCTGGATCAAGATTGCATTGACTGTATAGGTTGCTTTGGGAAATATTGATATTTTAACCATGTTCAATCTTCCTATCCATGAGCATGGTATGTTCTTCCATTTATGTAGATCTCTTATAGTTTCTTGAAGTAGTGTTTTGTAGTTTTCTTTCTATAGGTCTTTTGTATCCCTGGTAAGATTTATTCCCAAGTACTTTATCTTTTTGGTAGCTATTGTAAATGGTATCGATTTCCTTATTTCCTTTTCAGAGACCTCTTTGCTGGTGTAGAGGAATCCAACTGATACTTACATGTTGATCTTGTGTCCTACCACAATGTTAAATCTTTCAATAATTTCCAGTAGTTTTCTTGCTGAGTCTCTTGGATTTTCTATTTATAGGATCATAGGAGCTCTGGTAGCATAGTGGCTAAAGCACTTGACTGCTAACC